TTTTTTATAATGAAAAGTTCTGTATTTTAGTATTTTACCTGGTGCTACATATCCATATGTGCCTGCAAGAGCAGTCCAATTCGACGAGTCTGGATTCAAAAGCTTAGCAGTGCCGAAGTCAGAAACACAAGGCTCATAGTCACAGTGCAGCAAAATGTTGCTGCTTGTTATGTCTCGATGCACAATTGGTGGTGAGCAATCATGATGCATATAACACAACGCATGAGAAACTCCTTTTACAATTCTCACCCTTGTGCTCCAGTCCAATTTTTTAGCTTCATTCTCGTTGCTCAAGATTGCAGCCAAGCTACCTGTTTCCAAATACTCATAGACCAAAAACGAGTGTTGGGCACTTGAACAAAAGCCAAGAAACTTCACAATGTTTCGGTGTCGTATCTGAGTTAAGGCCCTTATTTCATTAAGGAACTCCTTCCGAGATGCCTCCTCACCATCAAGTGTTTGATGGAATTTCTTCACTGCAACAATGCTGCCTGATGGGAGTTTTGCCGTGTAGACGCTTCCCTGTCCTCCCTTCCCGATGCAATGAACGACATCAAAACCATTGGTTGCTTCCATGATTTCTCCATACATTTTTCTTCCGTCAAAATTAGATATTGAGAAAAAGCTTTCGTGCATATTGCTCCGTTTGATTTCCTGTTCTTGCTTTCTTCTACTTCTTCTTCCAATCAAAACAAATGCCAGGAAAGCAAGTAAAAGTGTTCCCAAGATAGGGAAAATGATTAAGAACTCCTTCTTTGAGGTATGCTTATGCTCCACAGAATGATTGCAGGGTTTTAGTCCTCCAACGTTGCCACACAATCCGTTATTCCCATCCATTCGAGCATTTTGAAATGCTTTGTTGTTGGGGATTGGACCCTGCAGTTGATTGTAGGATATGTCGATGCGATACAGGCCATGCATTTCATCAAAATTTGTTGGAATGAGACCTGTAAGATTATTGTAGGAAAGATTCAACTTCTCCAAGCTTTGCATACTGCTCATTTCTGATGGTATCTTACCCTCAAGTGAGTTATGACTTAGATCAAGTTGGGACAGATGAACTAACTTCCCCAACTGAAATGGAATTTCTTGACTGAACTTGTTGTTGCTCAAATTCAAGTAGTGTAATTTGAGAAAGTCACCAAAAATGCCTGGAATTGACTCTTTGAAATTGTTGGTGGACAAGTCAAGGTATTCAATATCAGTCAACGATCCAAATTCTGAGGGTATAGGACCCCAAAGTTGATTGCCATTCAACATCAAATTCACCAAAGAAGTCAATCTCCCAAAGTTCTTTGGGATCACCCCGACTAAACTATTGGAAGAAAGATCGAGTTCATGAATTTGGGTTGCATGGCTAATCTCAGGTGGTATACTACCAGTAAGCTTGTTCCCCGCAATTCGTAGGGTTTCTAATTGTGGACACTGTCCCCAGAGGTGTGAGATCTCACCGTGCAAGTTATTGTGGCTTAGGTCAATGAATCTAAGATTTGGATAGGCACCAAAGTCATCAGATATATTGCCTGTCAGTTGGTTCCCTTCAAGACGAAGTCTCACTAAGCTCTTGCAAGTTTTCAAGCTTTTGGGGATTGAACCTATCAAGTGGTTGTTTTGTGCTGTAAAGTTTTCTAGGTATCCGCCTCCGCAAATATTTTGGGGCAAATAACCAGAAAAGTTGTTATTTTTCAATTGCAGCACAGCCAACTTCTTGAGATTCTCCATCTCTTGGGGGATGGGGCCAGAAAGTTGGTTATCACGTAGGAATAAGATTTCTAGGTTGCTCAAGTCACCAAGCGAAGAGGGGATGGAACCATTAAGGTGATTCTCGCTCAACTGTAGGTCCACAAGAGATTTTAAGTTCCCTATCTCTTTTGGAATTACGCCGGAAAGCTTATTTTCATAGGCATAGAGAAGGGTAAGGTTTGTTAGATTACCTAAAGATGTCGGGATTGAACCAGATAGATTGTTCTTATAAATGCCTAGATTCACTAGAGACTTCAAATTTCCAATTTCGGAAGGGATAGAACCAGAAAGTTGATTTTTGAACAAGTACATCATGGTTAGGTCTTTTAATTTTCCAAAATCTGGAGGAATGGGACCTGTTAAATTGTTTTTTTGCAGACAAAGCTCATTAAGAAACTGAAGCTGGCTGATTTCTTGAGGGATTGAGCCATTTAGTTGATTCTCATTTAGGTGCAGGACTTGAAGACTATTTAGAAGACCAATTTCTGGTGGGATTTTCCCAGACAACTGATTATGAGAAAGGTCAAGATAGATGAGTTTAGAGAGGGAACTGATCTGAGATGGGATGGCACCAAAGAGTTGGTTCAAGCTGAGGTCAACATATTCGAGATTAGGGAGGGACAGGAATGGAAATTCATATAGCGTACCTTGTATTCCAGAATTGGTGAGGTTGACCCTGTTGACACTTGCAGCAGTGTTGCATGAAACACCAGTCCAAACGTTGCATGGGTTTGTATTTACGTTTGGATAGTAAGCCCATGAGGTCAGATTATTTTTGGTTTCATTTTGAAAGGTAGCTTTCCATTTGAGAAGAGCCTCGGCCTCAGAAGAAGTAGCAGAAGCAAAAGCAATGTTTGGTGATAAGAACAGCTGGACATACAAGATAAGGCAAGCTAGACAGCATAATAAATTTGTCATTGTTTTTTGTTTCTTCATACAATTGTGTATGTTTGATGGCTTTATTTATAGCTATTATTCTACATGTACTGTTCCGTTTCCGCAATTGTGTACTTGAGACCTCCTGTTCACTACTTTTCCACAAATTTGGAATATGGGAGAAGACTTTGAAGCCGCCTCTGTTAAAGTCCGACTTATAAAAGCAATGTTTGAATTTTGTGGACGCAAGGTTGACCTCACCTAATTTGGCGCTGTCTTAAAACATTCAACCAACCCCAACCACACTCTCTAATTTGGAGAGTCATAAATGCTTTACTTCTAGTTGTCATAAATGCAATACTTATTTTTTAATTTAATTACTGATTTTAAAATAAGATTTTCATATTCAAATAATGAATATTGCCAAATAATTGTAAGTTTAATTGTTATTCAATTTTGATATTCTATGATTTTCTGCTTTGAAAGAATTGGTTAAGGATGTGGTGGTGGTACACTCTTCGTTCTTTTACTTTCATTTATTTTTATATTACTCTATTTACTTAGGTTTACAATGTAAATAAAGAAGTACCACCTATTTGGATTCAAATAAAAATACTAGAAAATCAAATTCCCACCAAATCAAAATATGAAAAATCGGTTTTAGTGCAAAATCTGATTTAGGCTAAAAATGATGGCTCATTAAGTCAATATACTTCATACTAAAATCCCATAAAATCAAGTTTTCTTATTTGAAGTATAAGGAATAAAAGCCGCAAAAAATTATCTTGAGAAAATGATTATTCCAAAAAACCATTTTTCATACTTAGTCAATATTTTTACATAAAACTTTTTTTTTCATGTATGATATGAATGCATGAAGGGACCTAATGTTTTTTTAGTTTGAGAAATTTTGATTTTTTCTTTCTATTGGGTTTAATGGGGGGAAACGCTTTACAGATATTTGTTAAATCGCTACTCTTTGTCTATCTCTTGCAATTTTTCTTGCTCAGAATGTATTTGTCTATCTCTTTATTGAGGACAATTATGATTGCAACCAATAAGCAATATAAATCTTGACATATGTGATAATATATACTATTTTTCGTATGTATTATGAGTTCGAATTTTTGATTCTTTATAATTTATAAGAGGCCTCCACACACATCAAATCCTGGCTTTACCACTGTTGTAACACCCCGACCCCAAATTTATCCCATGTTGTAATTTATTTAAGTGGAATTGAGAAATTACCCGTGGGATAGGGGTATTTTAGTCATTTTCTTATCCGGAAGGAATTTGGGAATCCCGGTTGTACCGTTGCGTAGAGCACGGTGAGATGAGTCCGTAGACACGTAGTGGGCTCGAATCGGAGTTGTAACGAGAGAGATATGATCAAATGAAGCTCAGTGGCATAATCGTAAATATTTGGAAAATGGATTTTTGGTTAAAAAGACGAAATTGCCCCCGTCTCTCTCTCTCCCCCGCGCGTCCCTCTCTCCCTCCTCTGGTTCGCGATAGCCACCATGGCCGGCCGTTCGTTCGTCCGGCCACCAAAGTCGACGGGGCCGGTACCAAAATGACCGGGCCGCCGGCCTCTTCCTACCCCAGC